CCTGGGAAGCATTCAAGCAGCAACAGTGATGATAAAAGCACCTGGGAATGGCATTATGGGGCATAAAAATCAACTACATTTTCTGAGCACTAACTGAGCATCTTACAGGAATTATTGAATTCTCAACACAGTTCTGTGAGATTTATTCTCATATAGAAATGAGAAAACTGAAACTTAGACATTAAGGGACATGTGTAAGGTGGTACAAGAGACACAGCTGATTCAAACCCAATCTGTCTCATTTCAGAACCACATTGTCAATCACTACATTATCACTACACTGCTCAAATGAGATACATACATGTCAAAGTAAATAAAATATATGAATGGTATAGCATTTGTAAAACTAAAGAGTTTTGAAATACCATATTATTATTCATTGTTATTCAGTTAATATTCTCTAGACTTTAAGACTTTTTGCCCGACAAGCCCCCAAAAATATCTACATATATATGGATATATTTTACACAGTGATCTATTATGCACACATGAAATATTTGTTTCATAAAACTATATTCATCCTTACTACATGTAATGTATTCTGATATATTCTACTCTACCTCTTTTTTTTAATGCTAGAATTGATTTCATGACCCACAAATAGGTGGCATCTTGCCACAGAAAAAAATAACTCAACTCTGGACAATAGGTGTACGTATGTTTGGAAATACAGACAGAGGAAATATGGGCATCCTGTCATGTTAGAAACATACACAGACATCCTGGGAGAAGAGTAAATTAAGATATTGTATTTGGTAAATATGTTTTCACAAAACCTCCCGCAGTACTACTATTCCCCAATGTTTAGAGAAGTGAAGTTATACCACCACCACCATAAGCATTATAGTCAATGAGCTGCCAGCCAAAGCTGACATTATGATTCTCAAACAACATCAAAGAATGGAAGCATGCTACCTCCATGACCTTCCTGATACAGGCAGCTTACTGTTTGCAAGAAAATCTTTCTGAGCCATTTTGATACCCAAATTTCTAAAGTATATTAAACACTGACCTGACTCCTTAAAAAAGACTATACAGAATTTAGCCTTTTCAAAGACCCAGGGTCATACTTACACAGACACAACGGTCAGCTGGTAGATAGGTCACCTAATTCAAATCTCCCACTTTACAGATGAACAACCTGGCTTCCCAAGAGGTGACGCAATTTGCCCAAAGTCACCCAGTAGAAGGGTCAAGTGATTCCCATTACACCATTCTGCCACATCTGTTACTGTACTATGTCGAGCACTATCTAGGAAAGTAGTCACAATTTAGGAGCAATACTCTTTGTAACTTCTCCCATGTTTGTTATTTTGGTTACCTCCTTCCTTTCTCCATAATCTTTAGCAATAAAACTTTTAAATCAAAAAGGATCTATGTGTTTATCCTCTGCAGGAAAAATTTTAAGCTAGCCCAGTCCATAGCCCATCTTAGGGAAAGAACCCCCAAAATATAATTGTGTGGTGTACTTCAGAAAGGAAAGGAATGCAGACTGAATCCTTATGTGGTCTTCAGAAAGCAAGAAGGATGCAACGAAAAGTCCACATTGGCTTAAGAACAGTTCTGTGGATGTGACTATCAGGAACCCCAGTCTCTGAAAACAGGCAACACAGTAAACTTCACAAAGGCAGGGACTAGGTTCTCAGTAAATGTGGGTTGAATACTTTGAAAAATTTGTCACTATACAAACTGGTCCCAGGCCATTTTACTGTTTGATGTAGGCTTGCACTTTAGGGTGTTTGTCTCTTCTCTTTCCCATTAGGATATGAACTATCACTTGTATCTAATGACATCCCCCAAACACAGCTTTTACAGAAGTTAAGGATGTTTCTAATATGCTCTGAGCACACTGGAATTATTTCTAAAATAAGAATATGCTCTGAGCGAGGGCCTGAAGGATTCCACTATGTAAGAAGCATGCCAATGTTATCACAGCTCTCCTAATTTCCATCCTGCCTGCTCTTCTGTTGAACTGTTGTCTCTGATGCAGATTGCAGCTTACACAGATGTCACCTCCAATGAGGTGTTATGTTATTGGGACTATTTTTGTCCTGAAACCAATGATACTTCTCTACAACCCATCATTCCAATGTCTTTTTAAATGGCAAAATGTCTTGAAAATGACAACTGTGTACCCAAACTGAACGCCACTTCCTAGAACATCACTTACATCCAGTTTTGTCCTCCCCTTTAAGACTCCAGATGGCCCCCCTTCCTTTTTCCATTTTCTTCTATATTTTTCACAGCTCAAATACTTGATTATATCCCTCTGCCTTTGGGTGTTTGACAGATATTTCCTGTATTTTGTAATCAGAAAGAAATGGACATAACTAAGAAAATACATACCAAACTTTATCTTCCCATAATCTCTTCAAAACATGACCCTAAGGAAAATCTTATGATATGAAAAGTAAAAAAAAATACTAATTAATCAAGGACAAAGGGATTTAAATATTATCTACAGATGTTTTTACTTGAAGCAATTGTCTTTTGACATAGAGCTAAGTCTACTAAAAGAAAAATTACATTTCATAGCCTATTTCTTCATGTTTGTGATACATGCATGATTAATTCCGCTTGTCAGTAAAACTGAATCTAAGAAATGCTGCTTTTCCTAAGATTTACTCAAGCCAGTATTTAGTAATGCGAACGTATATATACATATATTTTTAAGTAGGCTCCATGCCCAATGTGGAGCCCAACTGTGGGGCTTGAACTCAACGACCCTGAGATCAAGACCTGAGCTGAGATCAAGAGTTAGACGCTTAACCGACTGAGCCATCTAGGTGCCCCTAATGCAAACATTTTTAAGGCTACTTTCAGCAAACTATTTCAGAAGAAAAATATTCCAAACACATTAACAATAATTCCAATTACGTAATGATTGGAATTATTAGAATCATTTGGGAAATGACTTATCCAATTTTTCCGTTTTAACATACCTAAAAACGAAGCTTCATAACATAAATTTATGCAACGTGCTTGATAAACTCAGAGTATGTTCACCATTAAGTGATATGAAAAACATAACTTATGATTAACTTCAAATAAGTTCTTCCAATACTTTGAGAAATACTACTACCCTCATTGGAATAAGTCTAAAATGAATCTTTTTCTAAAAACACCAGATGCCACCTAATGCAATTTTCTGTATCACTCACAGTATCTTCCTACCTCTACCATAACGGACTCTAACAGGATGAATATAGTCCGTATTATGATCTGAACCAGAAAGCAACTATTTAAGAATTAACGGCATTTAATAACAGGAATTAGCACTCTTACCAATTAAAATTTGAATCCAGGTAAGAAAAATCTTATAATTCAAAAAATTTTAAAAACACCCCAAGTTCCTAAGTAACAAAAAAGAAAGGCAATAATATAGAATCCAAGTATGGTATAACAACTATTCAAAAATGGATGTTGTTCTCCATTTTAGGATAGACTGGAGAAAACATCCAACATCTGTTCACAGCAGCTGCAGCCAAGTTATCTGCAGTCATGCAGTTTTCAGATTGGGAATAAACATGTCTTTGTTGTCCTGAGACCAATTACCCAGGTGCAACTAGAATAAGAGAATTTTTGGTTAGACAATACCTGAAAGACTAGTTTACCCTTTCTGTGTTTAAAAACAAGAAGACTGAGGCTCAGAGAGATTAAGTGCCCTAGCAATTCAAACAGCTATTTAAAGGCCAAGCAAGGTCTAGAAACAACCTTTCTCAATTATTTCTACTAATATGGGTTAACTCTTAAGGTCTGAAGCACTGATTCTCCCTCTGAGATGGAACGGGCCTTTGGAAATTTACCAGCTGTGTGATCTTGAGTACACAGCAATCTGAGGCCCCTTTTCCTCGTCTGCAAAGTGTAGAGAATACCTACTCTAAGGAGGTTGTTGTGAGGATTACAGCTTCTAAAGTGCTTAGCACATCAATTAGCAAATAATAAGCATTCAAAACCAGGTAGCTATTATTTTTACTCCCGCCCTGGAAACATGGATGCCCCCACTGTTTGAGAAGACAACAAACTCCATTCGTTAACACAATGGACGGGTTCTCATCTACCAGAGCTTCTCCGACCTACCACACTCTGCAAACAGGAGAAAGCCCCACTCAACAACCTACTTCACGCCTTCTAAAATTCGCCCTTTACACTATTAAGAAAAACAAAATACCAACTGCTGCCAAATGTCTTCTGCCACGTGCTGTACGTTGAATTTGTCAACTAGAAATTGCAGGGGATTTTTCTGACTCCACCCAAAACATGGAGAATAAATGATGGGTAAACGAGGGGAAGATAAGGTCACACACCTGAAATGGAATTCACAGAAGCTTCTTCTCAGCTCATTTAGTTGTGAGTTGATAGGTGGGTGATAGAAAGCAAAACGCTATCTTTCAGCATCATAAAGCAGGAATGGCTACCTCAACAAAATACAATTCCCTAGGCTTGTCAACACAATAGAAAAGAATCCGTGTCCTGTCCTAGTAAATTAATACGCACACGGGCAACAACTGAGCACCTTTCTCGAAAACCTGAAGACTAAACTGTATCCGAGCTGCACTACACCCTAGGACTACATAAATATATGTAAAATTCCTAAGAAAGGGCGAGACAATGATGGGGAATATCACCTTGAAATCAACAAGGAAGGAATCATGTCATGCCAAAAGCGTTTCCTTCGATAAAATCCCGACCCTCCATTCTCATGACACTACAAACCCACCTCCCTCTAAGGAAATTACAGAATCACCCGCAGCAACCAACCTCAGCAATCGGCATCGACCAGATCGCCCCCTACTCAAATGGCGCTAAGTACCGTGAGTCCAAGCCCCTCCCTGGAGCCGCCAAGTCCCGCGCTGACTCCACACTACCTCACTTCCTTCCCGTCCTCCCTCCCATCCTCAACCCCCGGCATTTCTCGCCAACCCTCACCACTGACAGAGAAGGTAAGAACGAGATAGATTTCCTACACTTTGTTCGGGGAGTACCAGAGCCACACATACCCGTCCCTATTACGATCACATCAAACTCCGAAGGGAGAGTATCTGCCATCTTGAAAGGAAATGTGTCATGTGACTATTGCTTGTGGAAATGAGATCTAGTCAGGCGTCGCCCTGGTAGAAGGCGGAAGGAAAAACAGTGCATTCTGGATATTGTAGTTCTTGGTGGCCGGTCCAGGTAGGCGGCTACAGCATTTTATTTGAAATGTTTACACGAATGTTAAAAGCTCAGTTTATTTTCCAGGCTGAGTGCAGTAGCGCGTTTAGCCTGGAGGTTTGGGGTAGTAATGAGATGGAGATTTTTGCTCTGCTAGCTATGTTGAATGGGAAAACCTGGGTGCCCCTTGACAATGATGAAGCAAGAATTGTTGGGATAGATGAAGGGCGGAATGAAATTGAAAGGGGATTGGTCTGTGAACAAAGGAAATTTTCATTCCAGCCTGGTAACTTGTTTCCCCCAGTGTCTGTGCACTTTCGTTTTGGCCCCCCGAAGCATCATTTTTCGCACCAATTCTTTCAAACTATATCCCGTATCTTTTTCGTCTCCATATCTCCCCAATGAAAACCCACGAAAAACCTCTCTCCTTAGTTTCGCCACAATGAAACCTAAATTGCGTCTGTATTTGTTCTAGTTAGTCCACGCAGCCACCCGGCAGTATATTTTTACAAAATTGGCTTTTTTTTACAGGAGGGAAAAAAGGTATGAAAGCATAGTAGTTGCTTGATAAGCGTTTATTGGTTCTGAATCTGGTTTTTTATACGTATACAAGGAGTCCATACAAGATTCTTCTGATAAACTTCTGCAGAAATGATCAAGGTAAAATGGCCTTTATATTAAAGTGATTGTATTTGATGAAGGGCTTTAGGGTTCATTGTAGTTATTTTAGTTATTTTACAAGAGTTTCAAAATAATTAAGGAGAGAAATAATTCCAAAAGAGAAAGTGCCAGTAGTTGACCTTCCCTTACACCACCTGTCCACTGAACTGTTTGTGGTTTCCCAGTCACACTGTTTTTCCTTTAGCATGGAATGATATTCCCATACTCCAGCTAACATATTCTTAATATTCAGTTCAGGTCCTACCACCTCCTCCTTTTATCTCCTCACTATATTGGGTTAAATTTCCCTATGTAGTGCTAACACCATGTCATAGCCTCCCATATTGCACTGAAATTATTTGCATTATGTTGGTTCCTATACAGTTAACACAGCCCCACACATACAAAAATATACACCTAGATATATAACAACCTAAATTTTAAGTCCCTCTATGACAGGGACAGAGGCTTACTTATCTTTTTACCCCCTGCATCTAATATGAGCCTGTTGCTTAATAGGAATGCCAGTCAGTGTTTGCTGAACTGAGCTTAGTTCTGACTCCCCTAATAGATGGTAAGTACTATGAATACAGGGACTAAGTCTTCATCTTTATATCTGCCCACAACTATCATGTGTCTTATATATTGAAGATGCTCAATACATGTTTGTTACTTTGCTAAGTTTCCATGAAAATTCTTTAAAATTGTATTTTACCGGGTTTGGGTTTTGTTTTGTTTTGCTGCCTTTTGCCATAATCTTTAGCAATATTTTACATGTTTCATTAATTTCTTTTATGGACTATCTGGATGTATTGAACAATTCTCTTGTGATATGGTCCTCTGATGAATATTTTGTGTAAGATACTCCTCTAAGAAATGTATTGTTTGGTAAATCACTCTGCCATTTGCCTTGATATGGAAAGAAAGTTTTGAGTACTATCAGAAGTGAAATAGATCTTATCCATGAGACTCTTAATACCACCAGTGGAAATGAAAATTAATAGGTTTCCCAAAGTAAACACAGGGAACTTCAAAATCTCCTCTAACAGAAGCTATGGATGGGTGGTTAAAAACATGATAAATTAAGGTATCTCTATCTTACTTTGGCGATATGTGTATATGTGTGTGTATATATATATCTTTTTCAATATGAGTATATCTAACTTTCTATGGACTCAGAAATTTTCTAACAAATAGACACAATGTGAAGACACAACTTATTATTTCATTCAATTTTCCTTAAATATTTATTGAATACCTACCATGTGCAAGGCACTGATTTAGATGCTGGAATTACAGCAATGAGTAAAACAGACAAAAACCCCTGACTTCATGAAGTTTACATCTAGTGGGGTATAAAACAAAATAAACAAGTAATATTACTCTGCTGTGCTAATTTTCCAATATGTTTTGCTCCAAATAGGAAATTCCTTTTATTCTGAAGCTAGAAAGCAGGACCCTCAGAAAGATAAAATTGCCACCCTGTGTTTTAGCTGTCCTCTATCACACCCTCTCTGAGCATGAAAAATATGATTATGTTAGAAAAAATTAAAGCCTCTGCATGGAGAAAATGCTCAAAATACCTTTTCTGTCAAATGTATTTTTATAGATCTTCTGCAAAGTAAAGATGAATATAGGGGTTGATAATGTCATTAAAATAGCATGAAGCAAAGCAGCTTAATTGCTGTCCATTCTATTATTCTAAGGACATCTGTTTTTGAGAACTGAAATATTTTATTTGGATAAGTCACAGTACAATGAGATGATGGATACAAATTGACTTACCCTGTTAAACACTGAGATCCTAATTTTGTACTTAATGGTTTCCTGAGTTGAAAAACCATGATTCCCTGAACATTTACCTTGTATTCAGAAGCTTACATAACTGTGGGATCTGATGTGTCATCTTTTTACAAACCAGTTATTTAACGGTCTCTATCCCTGGGCTTTCCTTTGAGCTCCAGATCCAGATATCCAAGCCCTTACTCAACATCTCTTCTGAACATGTCCAGTACCAAACTCCTGAAAATTTCAGCCCCACTCCCAAACCTCTTCATCCAGTATTCCCTACCTTAGAAACGGTACCACCTTCTAATCAGTTACTGAAGTCAAAAACCTTAAGAATCATCCTTGATATATCATTCTTTTTCACTCTTAAACCAATTTCATCAGCAAATCTTGCCAGATCTGTCTCAAAGTTATATTGGAAACCTACCCACCTCACAATCTGGACTGCCCGCATAATCTCTTACCTGGACTACTACAATAGGTCCCAGCTGGACCCCTCATTTATGCTTGCTTCCCTTCAGTCCACTGTCTATATTGCAGGTAAACTTTTAAAAATTCAAATATAGGGGTGCCTGGCTGGCTCAGTTGGTGGAGCATGTGACTCTTGGTCTCAGGGTTGTGAGTTCAAGCCCCGCATTGAATGTAGAGATTACTTAAAAATAAAATCTTTTTTAAAAATTTCAAATCTAATTATGTCCTCCCCTCCCTAAAACTTGCATGATTTCCCATTGCTCTGAAAATACACTCCAAAATTTTAAACATGGTCTAAAAGTCCCTGCTGAACTTTCTAGGCTCATATACCTCTCACCCTTGTCTTTCTAAGCTCCAGCCATATTGTCTCTCCATTTTGTCTGATACCCCATGCTCCTTCCTGCTTCAGGGCCTTCATTCATATTCTTCCATGTGCCTGAGGTGCACTTTTGTCCTTCTCCCTTTCTTCTACTTTAATCCTACTCATTTTGCAGTTCATTCAAAACATTATTTTCTCTGACGAGTCTTCATCTAGTCCTCAGTCTGCCTTAAGTCTCCTATACTCCTTTGTTGAACTTTTCATGATTGGAAATATCAAATTGCTTATGCAATTTCTTATTTCATATCTGTTATCCTCCTAGGATGTAAGTTACACAAAGGCAAGGACTGTGCCTATATTGTTCACCATTATATTTCCAATACGTCATTCAGTGCCTAGCACGTAATAGGCACTCAAAAATATCTGCTGAAATCCCACTTCTGTGTATATATCCAAAGCAAATAAAATACTATCTCAGAAAGATATCTGCACTCCCATGTTCATTGCAACATTATTCACAGTAGCCAAGATATGGGAACAACTTAAGTGTTCATCAACAGATGAATGATATATATATCCATATATATATATATATTCCTTATATAAAGGAATACTATTCAGCCCTTAAAAAGAAAGAAATTCTGCCACTTGTAATGACATGGATGAATCTAGAGAACATTATGCTAAAGTGAAATAAGCCAGACACAGAAAGACAAATATCACATGATCTCATTTATATGTGGAATCTAAAAAATATGTATTTTTAAGTCAAACTCACAGTAACAGAGTAGAATGATGGTTACCAGAGAGAGGCTGAGGGTAGAGGAAAGGGGAACATATTGATCAAAGGGTACAAAATTTCTGTTGTAACATGAATAAATTCTGGAGACCTAATGTGCAGTATGGTGACTATAGTCAAAAATGTATACTTGAAATTTACTAAGATTATAGATTTCAAGTGTTCTTACCACAAAAAAAGGTAACTATGGGAGGTGATGGATATGTTAATCAGTTTGATTGTGCTAATCATTTCACATCATATATATCAAAACATTACATTGTACACCTTAAATATATACAATTTTTATTTGTCAAAAATAAATGATTTTTTAAATCTGTTGAATGAATTGGTAAATAATAAGGTACAGGAAGTCTTCAGGAAACCACACATGAGTACTATTTTAAATGAGAATAAAATGAGTTGATTGCCCAGTAAACTTATTTCATCAGCTGGTTTTGTGTTTATAATTGAACAATACACATGTGGTTAATAAACAATCCAACTAGCAAAAGATCATACAAAAACTCGTAAGACTAAGAAGTCTCCATACTCTCCTAGCCCCGCCCCCAGGTTGTCCTCCCCAGAGATATTATCCATTTCTTGTGAATCCTGCTAGAGATTGTGTATGTGTATGCGTGTGTGTGTGTGTGTGTGTGTGTGTGTGTAAGGGAAGCAGTAATCCCTTTATTTCTTTTTTGACACAAATGGTAGCATGCTATAAACATTATTCCTCACCTTACACCTGTATATTCTACTTATTATGTTTAGGAGATCCTGGGTTCTCAGAACGTGTAGAGACACCTCATTTTTAATACTTTTCTATAATTCCATTGTATGAATAGACCATGATTTATTTAATTTTCCTCTATTGATGGGTATTTCGTTCTTTTCTAGTCTTT